TTTTGAACATCGGATATAAAAGAAATATCATCTTTGTTTCATCAAAGTTGATTAAAAAGGAAGCAATATCTCTCCAGCAGTGAGAAAGGTCCTTGGGGGCGTTGTTAGATTGGTTATATTGCCTGATTAAAACTTCTTTCAGAGTGAATCTGCTACATAGAATCCAATACTGCATTTTCACAGTGTTTTTAAAAGGGAGGATACCCGCAATTGTTTCTTAAAAAAACTCCAAATATCTGAACCTGTGCCAGTGGAGCAGAGTGTTGCCAAGAATCTCCTGATGCTGTTTCAACTTCCATCGATCACGTAAAGCCAGATCAGCGCGGCTCTGTAGACTGTGCTTCTAAAGCTGGGTGTATGCAGTGCACATTTCGGGCTGATTTGTTGCCAGTGGGGGCGGGTCCCGGCTCCAAAAGATCCATGAGCATGTGCGCTGACATGGTGCAATCTCACTCCTTGCCAATGGGGGTGTACCCGGAAAGAGAATTACCCAATGCCTTTGTGTGCATCTTCTTTCCTCTCGAAATGGCTTCAGAGGATGGTTCAAAAGTCGCTCTTGGCCCAAATCTACGTTCCAGATGCGTCATCGCTGTATTGCGGTAGGTCATTATGTCATCAAATTGCGCAGGCTCTGACGCCAGCAGAAAGCACCAAAACAACCGGCATTCAGCAGCATTAGCCTAGCACATTAGCTTAGCACTATTAGCCTTGCACTATTAGCCTAGCAGACACCACTGGAAACGGCAAAAGGCATTCACACAGTAATCACTGTTTAAGTGTCTACCTTTTGGCCAATCAGTGTCAAAGGGGCGGATGTTGAAAAGCGCCAGCGTCCCTGATAATTGAAGACATCCTTTGTCCTTCCTTAACACACACAGACACACTTCCTTTGCTAACCATTATTATGGAAAATTAACTTAAGTGCATCACAGCCTATATGATATATGTAATAAATATCTTGCTATTTTGTTATTTTCAATATTTTCAATTTGAAGGTTAAGTCTGACCTAACAGCCTCTAAGCAGCACTTGCCTCAGCCCTGATTAGAATCACATCTTTCAACACTCAGGCAGAGGAGATGGACACATTATTTTAGCACAAATAAATGGCTCAAATGTCTCGTCTGTCACTGAAGCCAATGCTAATTATTCCAATAGATGCACCTATCAGGGCTGTGTTTTGTTATCGCTACATAGAATAATCACTTGTTTGTTAGCACCTTAGTCTGGCAGATAGAAAATCCATTTGGAATGAGTAATACTCCAAAGAAACAATTAGAAGCAACGATCCCTTCACATAACAGCTGCACATTTATTTTTGCAAATAATGGGAATAATTCATATTTTATCAGAGTGTTTAATTATGTATATTATGATTGTCAAAACCCATAATAAATAAATTACAGTCATACTTGTGCATGCCAAATTAAAATGTAAACTTTCCTAAGACTCATGTACAGCTGCTATTTTTTTAAAAAGCCATTCAAAAGGGGATTAGCTTGTCAAATCAGGGCTGGAGTCACTGAACTCATTAGCTGCTCAACTCTCTCAATAAGCATCACTATAAATGTCACATTTAAAGGATATATTAAATGGCTCTCTGCAGAATGTAAGAGCGCAGGCTTGAAAGCAGTCAAACACAAATCAATTACCAGCTACCAAATGTGCATTCAACTATAATAATAATAATGCATTGGTTTTAAACAGGGCTTTTCTGGACACTCAAAGACACTTCACATGTCACTATTCGTTCACTTCATATACGGTGGTGAACTACTACTGTATTGCCTTAATGTGGGTGACGTGCCTTGCCTGTCTTGGAGCCGCCCCAATGTGGCACCTGGTGTTCCCAGAGGTCTCCCATCACAATATTAACCAGGCCCTGCCCTGCACAGATTCAGAGGTCTGACGGGATAATATCTTCATCTATTTGAAAACACTGACACAAGTTTCATTGGTCTTCACCCTATCCCGATCACATGGGGCACGGTGGCTCAGCCAGAAGGTCCCGAGTTTGAATCTCAGTCAGAACAGGGTCTTTCTGAGCGGAGTTTGCATGTTCATATCCCATATTCACATGTTCTCCCTGTGTGAATATGGGATTTTTTATATGTTTAAAGTGATTGTCTGGAGTTTGTCAGAAAGAGAGACAGAGAGGTACTTGATTTGAAAAAATCCTTTCTGATTGGTCTACACCTACGTTTCTGCAACACTTTGAAATGTTAATCAGAGAACACATTATACATACAGCTAAGAGAAGGGGAGGCGGGAAATACCCGTAATATTAGAATTAATAAAATGACTTATTTTATAACAACATTTAAGGCCAGGAGGTAAATTTAACACATTTCCTAAAATGTGTAATTCATTTAGAGTTACAGACTCTTACATCACTTTAACTAAAACAAAGCTCTAGTGACTCTCCTGGAGAACTTCTTCATAGAGATGACCCGTTACACATTCTCTGTAAGAAATAAAGTGTTGGATTTCATTGATTTAATCAATAATAAAGTCATTTCAATCCAACATGACTTTTTCCATAGAATGTTGGGTTGTTTGATTCAAATACTATGTAAATATATTTTAATTCACACAAACTATTGTTGGTTGTTGTAATTTAATGGTTTGTAAGGTTCAAAAATTATATATCTGTTAATAAATTGGTTGACAAGTATTTCAATAATGGACTAATTTGTAATGAATCGATTATATGAATTGAAAGTGGGGAAAGTTTTGGGATTCAACACTTCAGCAGTGCGTCACATCTGGACACATCTATAGCCTTTCCATCCACTGTAATTGTTCTTCTCCCAAAGGTTTTAAAACTTGCCACCATAGTAATGTAATTATACTCTGTGAAAATGGAATCTGCTACAACCTTAAGTCTTCTATGCAATCTATGCAATCTGGCAGCGTAGATAAGAGGGGTGTAGGCTTAAAAGTTGTATAAATGGTGGAAAGTTTTGAGAATTTACATTCAGACAAAAGATCAGCTCCTTCTACATAACCGTGGTTTTTGTCTGTACCTCCCAAAGTCCCTGATGCGATTATAGCATCTGTCCTTGTGTGAGCTGGAGTGGACTCACAAGAGACATTACACGGTGACCATTTCAACCAAACAAACCAAAAATGTCATGTTGTTGCATCATCTTCTGTCATGTTGTTTCAAATGTACATGTGAGAACGATCATTCAAAAAGACTGGTGACACAATAGAAACTCAAGTTATTATTTATGTGAAATGTTGGGTGATAGTAATAAGCCTGTGCATGGAGATGTCCTATAATCTTCTATAGTAAAGACATTTAACTGGCCTTTAGCAATAAGACGATTAGGCCATCTTTACTTTCTTTACAATTAAAAAATGGCTGTAAAAAGTTTAAAGGCATACTGTCTCATTTCAGTCATAGTAGTGGTAAGTAATAATATTAGCAATATCGTCAGAATGCACAGCACAGTTTGCAAAATTGCTATAATGTCGATGACTAAAAGCAACACATTCCCTTTTCTGATGTGATTGATTCCATTTAAGATTAATTTTTCTATTCAGTACTTGTAGAAAAGCGTAACATATTTTCGCACTGGTATGAGGGCGCACAACTCGATGATAAAAAGACATTTTTCACACTTGCTGATGAAGCTATTATCTAATTATAGTTGTCGAACAGATGGCTCAGGTCACAGTGACTATCAGCCAGGGACCGTCCCAAACAAACACAAAGACCTCCAGCAGGACCTGCTCCCTCATATCTCTGCTGAGCTGGTGCTATTGGATTGCAATATATATATATATATAATTTTTATTTTATTTATCCTTATGAAAATCTTATTGGGTATATTTCTTATTTATTGATAGCCGTTTTTTTTAACAGCTGCATACAGAGAGTTTATTGGGGCAATTTTGATATAGCTCCTCTTTAAAAAAAATTCTTCAAAAAGAAGGTTATTAAAGTGCAGTGCACATAGATACACATGCACATGATTTGTCTCAGTGTTTTGAAATGCTGTGTGGACAGTTGTTTGCCCGTTGCTGTGTGTGCATGCCTGCATGTTGTGTATGCATGTGTCACTGCTGTAAAATCAATAATGCTGTGGACCTCATGTTGAAACTGATGAAAATCAATGTGCTTTATACACCTTTAATGTCAGCAGCTGAGACAAAACCTGCACAGAATCACCAAGGGAAAGGGGAAGAATACAGAGGAAATACAAGCAGCTGGAAAGGGCCAATACACGCTTAAGGAGGTGTCATGTTGACTCTCTACAGCTTCAGATGTTACAATGTTAAGTCACTTAGTCACTTAGAATGCTTTAATGCTTATGTAACATGTGATTTAACCATAATGACCACCTTAATCTTATTAACTCCCTCGATGGTAAAGTAAAAGCCTACTTCAAATCTTAAGACCCATTGTCAAACATCTTCGTGACATAAAACAACTTGGAACACCTGTGATTATTTTGATGCAAAATAAATATGTATTTTTCTCCAACAGGTTCTAGTTCAAAGACACTTTCTTGAAGTCGCAGACCTTCAACTTCATGTCCCTCAAGAGAACTCCATTTCAAAGTGGCTGTTTAAAGTTTGAACTATAAAGAGCTCACAAACCCTTTTTTCCTGAGTCTATGACATCAGTGGCATCTCTTTGTACAAACCATAGCAAATGGACTGCTCCAGCCCAGAATACATGGTATAATTAGATTGCATTTATCACTATTTATTGTTTAAAGCATCCATGAAAAACTAATGCCTTACATTATATGATAATTACGCTGTCAAATAAACAACCAATCATTGACTTTTACTTCAATCACTTCTTCTTGGAACTTTCCAAAACAATGACATCTCATCAAGTGAACCAAAAATAGACATTTTACTATTTCAACCTCCTTGCCACGTTGAACACTGAGAGAACAATACTGAACTACAGGCTTCAGGCGAAATGGCAAACATCATACTTTTAACAACTGCCAATCTATTTGACAATAAAATATTTCTTACCCGCTGCACATTGCTCCTCGTCCGCCCCGTTCTCACAATCCCTCTCTCCGTCGCATCGCCATGACAACGAGACACACTTGCTTGTGGCTCCTCCGCAGTCAAACTTCTCAGGCGGGCAGGTTTGTCGACCTGAGGAGGGACGAAGGGGAGGCACACGGTCAGGTGTTTGAAGAAGAAGAAGATTATAAACAGAGGAGAGCTGTGGCAGGTAGCGACAGGAGACAAACACGCTGGATGGAACCGCTGCTAAGTTGGTTTTCTTGTTGCTTCCAATCGATTTGCCCTCAGAGCCCTGCAATTTGCCCACTTTCTCAACAGATAGACGGGAAAAACAACTGTGATAGAAAACCAACAAGACACGGGTTAACGTTTGAGAGAAGTCGAGTGAGTAAGCAGCTCCATGTCTTTATAAAGGAGCCATGAACAGGTAAAGACACACTGGCAATTTTTGGTGATCTTTTTTATTGCTTTGCTCTGAACTGGAGCATCGACACAAAACCTTTTCAAGTGAAGACCGAGCAGGCTTGTTTTTTTATCCATCTATCTTTTCATGTGTGAACTCAATGTTTTACAAATATGTTGTTTCTTCTGATTTATTTTATGTTGCGCTATTCAGAATCTCTGCTAAAAAGTCCAGGCCATTCTGTGCAGCCAGAGACACCCTACACACAATACAAACTCTCTCTTACAACAATCAACACTGCTTGTGAAGGGCTTTACTTGTCTACTACTGTTGGTCCAGAATTTTCCACTTGAGGAATCACTAAAGTATCCATCCATTCATTCATCTATACATCAAGTAGAGCTGCACAATATATCAAAATCAATGCAAATTGCGTTTTTAGGTGAAAGACATAAATTGCAGTAAAATTGTTACAAAAAACTAAACCCACATATCGAATATTGCTCTAATTTCTAATATTGTGCAGCCCTAATCTCAAGCTAAGTCAAAGCCAGAGGCAATAACAATATTACAATAGTCTTTTGGACACTCATGCTTTACTCATTGCATCCCACTCCACATGGTGGCTTTGTCTCTGATTATTACATGACAGAAAGATCGAGCGGAGAGCACTTTGTTGGCAGGGACTGGGTGAACAAGCTACTGATGTCGATCGAGCTAAACGCAACTCCATGTATGTCGTAACATCCATTCATCCTTTATGTTGTCGGGTCTTGGGGGCAATAGTCAAAGTCGTTGTTCCCCAACCTTTTTGAGCAGTGGCAAACCTTAGTCATTGCAAACAATCACATGGCAGACCACCAGCTGAAACTGATACAACATTGAAACTCTATAGCCTTTATTTACAATTCTCATCAATGTGTATTATATGAAAATCAAAAAAGCACAACATCACATCAATTTATTTTCACATGATTTTGACCAAGAAGGTGAAATCACACTAATAGACATCTAAAGGCACACTGGCTGAAAAACACTGGTCTAAGTAGACATATGGTAAATAAATACAAGCTGGCGAAAAAAATGAATTGTTAAAACTCATGATAATAGCACAACGTAGTTTGTTTTTGTATCTGTGGATCAGCTTTTGGAAACAACAGACCACCAGAAAGTTTCACCTGTCAACTTTCTGGTATTTTGGAATAAACTGTTCTGAACACTGGCTACATCTTGTCCACACACTAAAATAGAACCCCTAATTTCCAACAGGAACAAAACTCCTCTTGACTTTCACCCAGGGCACTTACAAGTAACTGCACCCACTCTTAACCACAAAATGAGCCACATAATTTTCCCTTTTTCGACTCGATCGTACGTCTTTGCTCTCGTACTCTGTTATTGCCATCCGTTATAGCCGCTAATAAAAGTTGTTTTGATGTGTCAGTCAGTTTGTCACTCTCACACCGACGGAGTAAGCAAAGTGAAGAGGTCCCACCAGACCCAAGGCCATTACAGCAGAGACAGCCATTGTTCCTACACGTGCTACCTGCTATATTGCTCTGGGAGGGCAAAACACACATGTCCAATACATCACATTTACCGTGAGTCCCCGGGCAGCCCACTTGCCCCACATTGTGTATATCCGACCACGCAGCTGGGACTCATGACCTAGAATACATTATACAACTCTGTCGACTCAGCTTCATCAATTAAACATGTGCGGCTATTGGGACGCATGCTGGCGCTTACTACACCTCGTCTGACAAGAAAGACGGACGTGTGTTTGGTGAACTGTTGGGAATAAAGGTAGTCCCTGGGTTTGGATAGGTCCCGGAACAAATTATTGACGTCAGCACCAATTATTGCAAGATTGAGAATAGATATAAATGAAACAGTTATGAATGCAGTTTAGTTATTGTGACCTTGGTATTATTTTGACTTTAGTTCTCTGTGGTTTGGTTTTAGTTTTTCTTCCTGTCTTGTTCCCCAGTCTTGATGGTCTGCCCCTCCCTGATGTGTTTCCCCTGTGTCTCTGTGTATACTATATGTACCTGTGCTCCTCTCCCCTTGGTGCTGGTCCATTGTATTGTCTCGGCCTCTGTCCGTCTGTTTTCCTGGTTCCTGAGTTTTGCTTGGATTTTGAGTTGTTTTTACCTTGGACCTTTGTTTCATTTTCATAATTAAGTAATGTTTTGTTTCTGCATTCTTGCATTTTGAATCCTCCTCCTTTCCACCACGTGACATTTGCATGAAATTCAACACACCCCGCCATAGATTTAATTGTTTTGGCCATATTGTGGAGATTATAAAGGTTAACTCAAATACTTTTCTTCTATTTTCATGATAATCTGTGAAGCTTCATCTATGGAGAGCTCAAAAGTGCAGTTCATGCAAGTCAGCCCAGGAATTTACAGAAAATTGAGGCTTATTGTTTAAATAACTTAATACACAACTTCACACAGCCAGTAACAATGAGTGATTTTTTTCATCTTTGAAATGTAGCACAGATTATACACACTTCCTCCCTCAGAATCTAAACAATTGCATGAAATTGATAAAAAGATAGATCATATTGTAAAATGTATTTCTGAAGATACGTAGAAATGCAGAATGACAAAAAATACATTGCTCAATGGACTTCCATAATTATGTCTGAATACTCGAATAGCAGTGCACACAAGCCACAACATTATTTTCTGACTTTAAAAATAGGCCATGTTATACTTGCATGAAAGGCATGCCGTAAAAAAGCATGCAGAAAAAAAGCACTGGAATCTCATGTTAAAATCATCCAAGATAAGATATTTACACAAAGATATCCCCTCTTTTCATTAACTTCAAAAACTTTTCATTGCATCATTCATCCCCTTTGAGGACATCTTTAATGAAAGTCAGTTCTTTGCAGCTCCTTGACCATTAGCATTGTCTGCCTGGTCTGAAACCACATGCAAAAATAAAGCTTGCAATAGTCTCTCAATTTTGGCTGCACAGTGTCTGCTTACAACCCCGGCTCAACAGCACCTACGGGAGCCACTCCATTTCATACCTTTTTTTTTTTATTCCTTTCATTCCTCTTTTTTCATTACAGTGCTGAATAAATTGCTTCTCCATTGCAAAGTAGACCCCTGCTGAGGGACGCTGGGAACAGTCCGACTGTACCAGAATCGCCCTCCCTTCCAGTCATTGAAAAGATGCTTGCTAATATTTCAGTTTTACACCCGCCAGCTTTTTTTTCTTCCTGTTCTATTGTCAGATACGCTGAATACATGTCTGCATTTCTGCTGCTTTCCCAATGTTTTCACCTAGAGTAAGCCTTGTCCTGGCCTTTACTGAATAATAGCTGTCCAAAAATCTTATTACAACCAAGGAGGGCTTTGATACGAGGACCTCCGCGAGACCATGCTGAACAGATTCTGAATGCCAGCGGGAGGCATGCATACCGGCGATAATGCGTGAAAGAGGAGCCGAAGAATGCGTCCGACACTGGTGAATACTCGCATAATTCATGGGATGGCTGAGGAGATAGCGCTAAATGGACGTCTATAGGGAGCTGTCTCAATAAAGCTATAGGAGCTTTTTGAATAGCTGTAAATATGCGTTGGTGGTACATGGAGGAAATGTTGTGAACCAGATCTTGTTTTCATTATGTGTCAGTGTGTATATTGGCGTGACAGACATGGTAACTATGTGACATGCTTGAGATTATTTTACACTAAAATTAGGTAAAAAAAGGTAAGGTGAAAAACAATATCAACACATTTGAATGAATGAAACATAATTTTTTTGATCAATCACAAGCAGAGAAATAGGTGGGGATTGGTGGTCGATGAAATGGACAGTCTCAATGCACTGAGAATCAAAACAAGGACAATGCAGGATTAGTATAAATGTAATAACTGAACCAAATTGACCATCTGCAGAACTGTCACAAGACAAAATCAACCTTGTTTAATCAAGTTATTGTTAAACTGAGTTAAAAGACCTTTGTATATTTAATAACACATTGAAGCAACTGTGGTCAAGCTGAATTCATCATTATCACACATGCTGTCGCAGTACTTTTCCACTTGAATGTTTTTGTTATCTGAAGGCCAAGCCTCGTGGCAAATGCTGATTGAACTGTCTATGCCAGGGGTATCCAAACTTTTTTGTAAGAAGGCCACTTTAGTTCACCAGACTAGTCCAGAGGCCTCCTTCACGGACTGAAAAACTGTCTTAACTGGTATCCGGCTGTTCTGAGCTTTATGATGATCTATAACAGAGCTGAAGTTGGCTGAAGGACAAATGTTTACCATCTCACCAGCTCACATAAGCAATAATAACGGGAGTGACACAAATAAAGTCCCCGACGTACACGTTTGGCTTTAGAACAAGGTCTATATTGGCTCAGCTGAAGTTGGATGGATGACACAGTGAACTTGTGTTTATGATTTCAAAGACTACTTTGGGTTTCGCATGGCGCCGTAAAGATGGCGCCGTGGCAAGAGCTCTGGTGTGTGCACACCGGGGTAGTCTTGCACAGTTTTCCAATGTGGTTTTACTGCAAATGGCAAATAAATGAATCTGAATCTGTTAGAAAGGCAGAGGGCCACATAAAAAGACACTGAGAGCCGCAATTGGCCCCAAGGCCTGAGTTTGGACATGCCTGGTCTATGCTGTAATATCACTTGCATTTTGTGAATCTTTGTGTTTATAACAAATGTATATAGTAAAAAATGATTCCTTCCTTAAACTTGTGTATAATATCAATATTGTTTGAAATGTTAAAAACAAAACATACTGTATTCTGTATCAACCCAACCTCATTCCTTTTCCCCCCCAAATACCAGCTATGACAAAGATACAGCTTTACAGTTCAGAGTAGACTCCAGGGGCCCAGACCAATAGGAGTGTGAGTGACAGCTGGGTTAAAAGGAATGGGCTCAATGGCCATAGATCCACTGTCTCCTAAATCATTCAACACTTCATTTGGAACAACAGAGAACTGCGCTGACAATGGCAATCCTCACGTGATTGAGACCAGATCCCACGGGTAACACGGTTAAAGAAAGAATAAAAGTGATTACAGTTTCATCAAATGCTGTGCTTAATTATTAACATGTAGCTATTATAAAAAGGTTGTGGAATAAGGGATTCTCTTAGACATCATAGTACGAGAAGCGATTCCACCCACACGTGCAGACGGATTCAGATGAACTGTAGGGTTAAGTGGGCTAACAAGGGTCGACTGTGCATCCAAGAAGAAAAGCACTGTATGATTAACATTTGCTTTCAAAGACTGGAAAGAAAGAATACATTACCATTTTAAGCCTCATTTTTGTAAGATGGCAAAAATAGCTTATTTGGGGATTGGATGGAGTAGGTGGCACTCAGTGGCTGAGTGAATAGCACTCTGGGTTCTCAGCTAGAAGGTCCTGGGTCCGAATCCCAGTCGGAATAAAAAACATGTACAACAGGTAAACCCTCCAGGTCCGGTAGTCCTGACCAAGCAGAGGATCAAGATTTGGAGATGGGTTCCCAGGCGCTATGCTACAGCGACCTAGTGGCATTTGCAAGATGGGTCAAATGCAGAGGATAAAGTTCCCTTTAACAAAGTGCGAATTTATTGTTTTACATTTGCATTTTAGAATTGACACAAAGGATTTTGAATGCCTTAATTGACTTTTGGATGCCTGAATTCATTTCAGATTCATTACAATACAATGTCAAATTTGTTGCATGTTTGGAAAAAAAACATTTGTGTTATTGGGCAACATTTTGAAGGGCATTGGGAAGTTTAAAGTTTGGTTAATATTGTGGCCATTTATATAAACATTACAGTATGGGCCTGTCCTGAGGTTTTTTTCCACTGGGTTTTAGAGTTGTTCCTTTCCGATGCAGGAGGATGTAAATACAGTGATGATCAAAGATATATAAGGACAATCATTAACATTTTTGGACATTGGTCATTCTGCTCCCTATGGATCAATGGCTACTATTTGTTGGATCTGTTGTTGGAGAATATACAACTTTGTGAAGTGCTCCAAGGAGACTTCTGTTGTGATTTAGGGCCATACATTTAATTGAAATGGAATTGAATTATTATTATCTTATGTTAAATGCCTGAAGTGTTAAATGAGTCCATGGGAAGTTTTGTGTCGTACTTTTGAAAGTCATCCTTTTTGGCTAAGCGCTGACAGGAGCTTCCTGCAGCAGCAGATTCCAAACAATATTGACAGAGTTATCGACAGCTCTGGCCTCGCTGGTGACTGGATTAGAATCGGCACGTTTCATCATACGCCAAGCCAAGTCCGATGACTGACTGGGATTTTACTGATGAAAAACTCGGTTGCTTATTCATGTCCATTGGTTATTCAAGTAATTCGGCTTATAATTCTTCCGGGTAGTAGTATCTTGGAAAGGCCTATCGATCCATCCATCAACTAAAAAGGGGAAGTGAAAAATACCAAAAAGACCAAGCTTCAGATGTTTTGCGCCATATCTTCTCATGTTTTCACTTTTCACTTAGAAATGCTTGAAATACAATAA